ATGTAACCTTTACTTTGTCTCCACTTCTTTCTTTAACAAGCAGCCTCTTTGTTCTTTTAACATTAATCCCATCATGTCTTCTACTGTTTGCTTCTTCTCCCATTACATTGCCTTCCCTTTCTTCTCCTCTTTGTCTATGCCCTCTGTCTGTTGTTCACTGCAGTGTCCTCTCTTTGTCCCATTTTCAGTTTGTTTTCCCCATTGTATTCTCCATCACTAATAACTTAAGATATATTCATTTTTTGTAAACATTACTTAGTCAGCATAACATCTATAATGTAAGCAAGCTATATTCCCCTTTTACAAATTCAAAAAAATCTATCTAGATTATAAACTCTTCAGGACAAGCACCATGTCCTTCAGTTTGTTTGCAGTGCACCAAGGCCTCAATACATTGTAAATAAAATGTGGTGTCTTAACCAAGACTAACATGAAGTCAAGGTCAGAGCTAGGGCTAGAACAGGAAGAGTTCCTTGCTGAACCATCATCACAACAATTAACTATCCCCTTTTTATTGCAGCTAGAGGCCCCATTTGCTGCTCAGTTGTCTGCTAGTTCCCTGGAAATGCTACAGCCCATGCTGTACCTGTTAGTCTGAACATGTCAGTCTCCAGGGTTGTCAAGCTGCAACTTTCCATAAGCACTAATTCGTATTGCAATAAATTATTTTGTATAAAAAATTCTGCCATCACTTGTTTCTTCACTTGCTTAAAATATGCGTTAAAGATATTTTTACCTCAGAAGTGGTCTTGTCCTACTGCTTAAACCTGAAAACATAATAGGTTGTGTTTTTGTGACATTACAGCACAGTAATTTATTATTAACATTATGATTTCCGGTGAGAAAGACACAAGAGGCTAGTTCTTCAAAGCAAAGACCTATTTGTAAAGAAAAAATTAAGAACAACACATAAAATGCACAATATACACAAACACAATGGCTCTAAAGACCAATTGATATTTCCTGGAAAACATAGGGACAAATAGTAGACTTCAGAATCTTTAAAAAGCTTTCCAGAAAATATCAGTTGGTCTTTAGAGCCAAATATTCCTAATGAAGGGAAGAAATATACTTCTAAATAAAAGCAGTCTTTGGATTGTATTCCTCTAGAACAGTGATTTTCAAGCAGGATGCCATGAGATCCGTTTAAGGGTGGTGCAGAGTTCAGCACAGCACTGTTAAGTGTGTAAATACCTCCACATGGTTCACAAGATACACCCACAGAACCCGTGTCCAGATGAGCGCAGCTGTCCGGTATGTGGAGCCAGTGCCACACACTGAAGATTCACGTGTTTCCCATGCTGCTACCTAGCAGGGGGGAAGAAAGAGGGGTTAACCCTGGGAGATCCTAGGGTGCAAATAACCCATGTAGAAAAAAAGGGCAGTGCATGTGGTTGCAGCATGCACTGCCCAAAACTGGGGAACCAAACATCCACACTCAGTCTGGACGCAACCAGGGATTGCAAATAAGAATCCATAGTGTCAAAAACATTCTGACCTGTTGTGGCCTGAGTTCTTTTTAACAAAAGAATTGCTCGAGTATTTTTCCATAGTCAAAAAATCAGTGAAAGCTAAGAGCTGGCATACTCTGAGAGGTGCTCCGAGTCTAACAAGGGGTGTATTGAGTCTAACATGGTTGCAAACTACTGCTCTAGAATATAACACCAGCTTGAAGTAGAGTAAATTAGGAAAACAACTTTAAATGATTTATTTGTCTTCCATGCAAAATCAGTGCATAATTCTAGGCATAGTAGCATTAAAAACCTCAAAGGTGACCCTTCTCCTATGATTTAAAAATTAGTTGCTAGTAAATTTTGGCTAAAGACCAGATACTTTAATAGTGGCTAATATGGAACGTAAAAATTTGAGCTCCGTTATGCCAATAAGTGTTCTGGGTGCGCCAAAAACATATAGGATTAGACCCGTGTCCTTGATCCCACTGACTTGGGATCCCATTGATCCCATTGGTCTGGCCCATGGAGCCATTGGTCCACTGAACTGACCCCACTTGCCAGCCCTGCTGCATGTGGCATGCAGGTTAGACCTCGCGCAGCACCTGCACACAGTGCAGGGAGCCAGTCCAGACCACATGCTTCCCAGATTGGACCTGCATGCTGGCTCCAAGGCCAGCACCAATGAGACCACACTGAAGCTTTGCATGCAGCAAGCACAGCAAGCCTGGGGCCAATGAATACAATACTCACAGTGCTGGGTTCAGCCCTGTGTGCTGTGTTTGGCATGCTCTGGCCGCTTGCTGTGCACATGAGGCCAGCACAGGGCAAGTGCTGCCCACAATGAGCAGGTTGGACCTGGGGCTGCATGTGGCACACAGAGCCCAGGCTGCGGATGTGGCTCCCCAGTCCCATGCTGCCTGCAGTGCCAGGTTCAAGCTGGATGCCATGGGCAGCACACACCCCTTGCCAGTCCTGCATAACACATGCACAGCGAGTCCCGGGTCTAGCACAGGAGTGGATGAGTTTGACAACCCTGACATGGACTCTTGTATGTGCTTAACCTTACCCGTATAAGCTTCAGTACGGTCACATGAATAAAGTTGTATATCTGTGTAAACTGCAGAATCAGGGCCTATAATAGGAATGCTCTTGAATGGACCATACAACTTAAAGACCAGATGACAGTGAACTAAATCTATACATATTTAGCCAAAGTCCTCATGGCTTGGTCACTTCGTACAAAATATAAACCCTGAAGATATGATCGATTGCTCAGAAAACAAAGCTCTAGTAAGCCTTCCAGTTAACATAATCATATATACGTGAACTACGCTTTTGCACAATATGAGATGTAAAAACACCAACACTAAACGCGGGCCCAATTCTTGTCCCTGGATTATATAAGTTTGACTTGTTTGCTATATGCTAATCATTTTTTGGACAACAGACTGATGCTCTATGCAATGTAGTCTTTTGACTACCATTCCCACTACACTCCTGCTAATGAGAGCGCCAAGACTGAATAAGTCCAGCAAAGGTGAGAACAAGGAAAGGACTGAAAGTGCTGAGGTGCACAAGTCACCATCCAGGGGTTTATCTGCCTCTTTGCAATGCTCCAGTAGCAGTCAAAGCAAGCAGTACTTTGAACACACAGGTTTGACTATGATAGGAAAGGATTTTTAAAAATAGTGTGTTCAGATGAGGAAAACGCAGGGGCCAGAGGGGCATAGAAGAAGGCGGAATTAAGCCATGTGAAAAAACACATTTCCCCCAGGCGTCACGGGTCCAACAGCTGAACCGAACCAGGTCCCCCTGCCCCAGGGGAAGGCGGGTTTAGCCATCCCTGCCCACGGGGCCGCCGAGCACCGACACGCGCACAAACCACCCGGACGCCCCGCGGCGCCGCCCGCTTCTCCCGCCGCGCACGGGCCTCCCGCGGGGCTGCTCCGCCAGCTGCTCGCCAGGACCCGACTCCCGCTTCAGCGGAGCCGGACTCGGGGGATGACCTCCCGCCCCGGCTGCGGCGCCGACCCGCTCCCGCGGAGGGGAGGCAGCGCCGCTGGGCTGGGAAGCCCGGGAGGTGTCGGGGCCGGCGCGGGGAAAGCCCCGCACGCGGCGTCCGCCGGGGCTGCTCCGCACCG